ACATAATTGATCAAGCTTATAATCTATAAGCTATCGTTTCTCTCCCCTAGGCCGAAGTTTCCCACGATCTCATTCATCTTGCCTCTGCCAACCTTTGCATTGAAATCTCCCATCACTATACTTTAGTTGCAGTAATTATTGCACTCCAGTTGGTTTCCCTTTTTGTGTAACGGGCAAATTAAGCATAAGCTCCATTATTCAGGCATTTGCTCCTCAGACCAAATTTTACAAACAATTTCTAGCATCATCTTGGTGAGCTGCTCTCCACCGTGCTTAAAAAACTCTGCTGGAATACCACCGCTGCCTGGGGATTTGTGGTTCTTTAGTTTTTTTATAGATATTTTCACTTCATCTACCGAATGGGGTTCCACGAGTTCCTCATTTTGGTATTCCAGCTCTGTATTGTTAGTAGGTTCCAATTCCAGCAACTCTCGAAAGTGCTCTACCGGTCGCAACAGGATATCCTCTTTGTTGGTAAGTAAGTTACTTTCATAACTAATGTAAAGAAAGATGTTTCGGACAGATTGGAAGCCTTCGAGTTACGGGCCTACAGAAGGATATTAAGAAGAAGTTGAGTAGATAGAGTCACGAATGTCGAGGTGTTGAGAAGAATGGGAAAAGATAAAGAGGTCTTAAATACAGTTAAAGTTAGAAAACTGCAATATCTGGGACATGTCATGAGGGGCGAGCGTTATAACTTGTTGCAATTAATAATGCAAGGAAGAATACAGGGTAGAAGGAGCCGCGGAAGAAGACGCATCTCCTGGTTGAATAATTTGAGAGCTTGGTTTAATTGCACTTCTCCTGACCTCTTTAGAGCAACGGCGTCGAAAGTGCGAATTACCATGATGGTTGCCAACCTTCTTAAAGGAGATGGCACGTGAAGAAGAAGAAGAAGAAGTTACCTTCCTTATCATTACAATAGTTGAATCTCGGTTTGAATTCTTTTCTACTAATAATAATAAAATAATAACGCAGGAAGCAAGGTTTAGATATCTAGAAATAGATATAACTAGTTACGGAGGGTAGATACTAGTTAGGTAGCGGGTAGACACTCCGGTAAAGACAGGTCGACTTCAGGGATGCGCCCCTGCCCACGCGAGCTCGGCTTTTTCTTCCAATCCTCTTCCGGGAGAGAAGCGGGTCCTATTCCCTAAATCCTACCCACCAACCCAGACCTACCCAAATCCTTCCCTTCCCTCCTTAACCCGCACTGGACCAGCGTGAGGAGATAACGGTCCAAACCTTCAAGTCAATGTACAGGACAAAAAAGAAAAGGCCCCCAGTGCCCAGCACTTCCCAGAGTCTGGATCACGACAACGATCAAACAACTAACGGAAGGGGGGGTGCTAAGAATCCCTGGGTAAGACCCGGCTGCCACAAGATGACAATTTGGCTATGCTCCTACAATATTCGAACACTGACGGACGACAATAGATTCCCAGAAATAGAAAGTGAACTAAAGGATATAAAATGGGATATCCTTGGTATATACACATTTTATGCATAAATGTGGCGAATACACTGGAGTGGGATTCTTGGTAAAACAAAGCCTCACACAGTGTATCGAAGAATTCAAGCCCATATCAGACAGAGTAGCATATCTCATCATCAGGATTAATAAAAGAACCACTCTGAAAGTGATCCAAGTGTACGCTCCGACCAAAAACCACGACGATGAAGAAGTAGAAATATTTTATGATGAAATAAGAACAGCTATAGAAACAAATAAAGCAAATTATGAAATACTATTAGGAGATTTTAATGCTAAATTGGACAAAAAAGAGGAAGATTATGAACATTTAATTGGTAACTATGGCTACGGGAAAAGAAACGTTAGAGGAGAAATGCTTCTCAATTTCATTTCAACATGTACTCAATGAACTTCTTTTTAAATAAAAAACCAAGCAGAAAATGGACATGGATGAGCCCCGATAAAAAGACAAATAATAAAATAGATTATATCTTAACGAAGAATAGAAACCTAGTAGAAGACGTATCAGTATTAAATCAGTTTGACCTAGAAAGCGATCATAGACTAATAAGAACAAAACTAATAATTAACAAAAAACTAGAAAGAAAAAGAATACATGAAAAAAGATACAAATGGACATCTGAAGAAATCAAAAATAGTGAATTTAATAAAAAGATAGTGCATGCATTAAATCAAGTTAGCATGCAGCAGACAAACTCAAATGATATTGATGATTTGAATAACCTTATTACCGAAACAGTGAATAAAAGCCTTCTGCAACTGAAAAAACCAAAAACAACATACAATGAATTAGAGAAAGAAATATTACAACAAATAGAAAGAAGGAAAATCTTAAATAAATCTAACAAAAGGGGAACCGATGAATATAGAGAACTTAATCGGCAGATTAGAAAAGGAATAAGACAACAAAAAATAAAGAAAACGAAAAATTAATAACAACAACTATTGAAAAAAATAAGAGTATGAAATGCCTCAGACCGACACTAGGACGACGTCAGATTATATCATTAATGGGAAAAGACGAAAATGAAATCACAACTAGAGAAAACATACTGACACGAATAGAAGAATTTTACACAGAACTTTACAGAACACATTAACAAGATGATGAGATGAGACCAGCACGGAAATTAATAAAAAATGTTGGATCAGAAATAATGCCAAAAGTAACAATTTCAGAGGTAACTACAGCATTGGAAAACATGAAGAGAAATAAAGCTGCAGGAGAAGATAGTATTACCACAGATATGATATTAGAAGGAGGTAAGGAACTAATTGCAATTGTAACTAAGCTTGTGGACAGTTGTTTACATCAGGGCAAAGTCCCTAAGAGCTGGAACAACTCTAAAGTAATCTTATTACACAAGAAAGGTGATAGTCGAAAATTGGAAAACTACAGACCCATCAGCCTACTGTCACACCTGTTTAAAATACTCACCAAAGTCATAACTACTCGACTAACAAGGAAATTAGACGAATACCAACCATATGAACAGGCAGGTTTTAGAAAAGGCTATTCAACTTCCGATCACCTGTTAACCACAAAAATATTAATAGAAAAATGTAACGAATACAAGTTTCCAGTTTTCCTAGCATTTGTAGACTACGAAAAAGCTTTCGATACCATAGAACACACGGCCGTAATAAACGCAATGCAAAATTGTAGAATAGACAGCAGATATATTAACTTAATAAAAGAAACTATGAACCAAGCTACAGCTACATACTACCTAAATGAAAATAAACACACGAACCCTGTACCATTAAACAGGGGAGTCAAACAGGGAGATACTTTATCACCCAAACTGTTCACCTTAGTTTTGGAGGACGTTTTTAAAAACCTAAATTGGAAATATAAGGGAATAAACATCAATGGCCGCTACCTCAGTAATCTACGATTTGCAGATGACATAATCCTGATAGCTACTGACCTACAAGAAATGCAAACCATGCTTTTAGAACTACATACCGAATCTTCTAAAATAGGACTGAAAATGAATTTAAACAAAACAAAAGTCATGCACTCCGAAGACACCGTGACAATAATAAACGATAAAGTTATAGAAAAAGTTGAAGAATATATATACTTAGGACAAAAAATAATACTAAATAGGGAAATTCAAACTGAAGAAATAAAAAGAAGAAGAAAGTTAGCTTGGGCAGCATTCGGTAAACTGAACTATATACTCAGAAATCAACAAATTCAATTACATCTTAGATCTAAAGTTTTTGATGCATGCATTATTCCGATATTAACTTATGCGGCACAAACATGGACAATCACAAAAAAGAATATGAATATACTTAGAGTCACTCATCACGCGATGGAAAGAGCAATGCTAGGTATATCACTTAAGGACAAGAAAACAAACACATGGATAAGACAGAAAACCAAAGTCACCGATGTGGTGCAAAAATCATTAAAGTTGAAATGGGAATACGCTGGACATGTAGCTAGGAGCGATCTAAACAAATGGCACAGATCAATTTTAACCTGGAGACCATACCAACACAAAAGACCCAGAGGCAGACCTCCTATGAGATGGACAGATGATCTGAAAAGGACTGCCGGGAAAAATTGGCTACAAGTAGCGTACAATAAAAAACAATGGAAAGGAAGACTTGAAGAGGCTTATGTTCAGATGTGGACGTGAATGGCTAGACGAAGAAGAAGAAGAAGTTACGGAGATGTTAAAGAAGAAGTACGACAACAAAGCTTAAAAGCAAGTAAAGCGGAGGGATTTCTTAATGACACAATCTGGAAGAACAAATACCTAAGACAAGACACAAAAACAAAAATCTATAAAGCAGCAATTAGACCTATATTAACATACACGGCCGAGACAAGACCTGACACATCTAAAACAAGACGACTACCAGAAAAGTCTGTTGGATAGGGAGAGAAGCGAAAACATAAGAAGAGCATGCAATATAGAAGACATAAATGGATGGGTGACAAAACGAAAACAGGAGTGGAACGAACACAACAGTAGAATGACAGAGGATAGAATAGTACGAAAGTACGAGATAAGTTACCAAATGGACGAAGAAGTATTGGCAGACCAAGAAAAAGATGGCGCGACAATTTAAACAATTTAGGAGACTAATATTGAAGAAGAACCAGGCTTTAAATTTACATACAAGAAGGAAGAAGAAGAAGAAGATTAATAGATTAAGTGAGAAGAAAATGAAGGTATATCTCGATTGAAGAACCTAAGAACCAGAGATGACACTTATAGAAGTATAAGTTTCGTTTGATTATCATTCGAAGATAATTTGAAACATCGAAGCTTGTGTTTTATCCGGATACACTAAAAAATGTAACGCCAGTGTTTAATTGGCATGTAAAGAAAGGTTAGGGTCATTTATCAGTGCTCAGAAAGTGGCTTCCAAAGCTAATACACAAAGTGAATTCGATTTTCGCAAATGTGTATTTTTGGCACGCTCGGTTCGGCGCTACTGACTACCGCTGCGATGATATGCGATGGTCCAGCGTAATCTGGGCGCTCAGTGCGGGACTTTTATGTGACCGGTGTAGTGACAAGAAGCCATGGAGGTCTACCGAAGATCCTCTGGGCTGGTGCTGCTCCTTGGATTGTTTCTTCTCGCCACTACCTTGCAGGGTACGTTTTAAAAATGTTCTCTTCTTCACTAAGAAAAAATTCACAGAAAAAGAATTATTGCTCAAGTGTTTATGTGCGTGGGATTCAAAGTCGTTTTAAGGTTCCAGTTACGGTGATTTTTTTTAAAAGTGTCTTGTTTAGCATGTTTTTAATGTTATATAATTTGGCATTAACCAGATTTTGCTCTAAAACATATGATACGTTATTTTTGGATGAAGCAAGGATCTAATAATAAAAATTCGCTTCATATAATTTTACTCTAAAAATAACTAAAAAATCATCTCGCAAACATTCTAGAAAGATGTCATTTTTACAACACATATTTTATTTCATTTTCATTTTACTTTTAAAAGACAAAAATAAGTAAAGTCTTGTTGATCTAAAAGTAGCAGAAAAGATAGTGTGCATCACAGGCAACAAGCCAACACTAGGATACCCTAGACTGTTACATATTTAGATCATCATGTATGACCATGAAAATCATAAATTATCATTATCGATATGTTTTTTTAAATATAGAAACCACTTTTCATTCAATATTTTTATATTTCCATCTACAAATTATTTACACTATCCGTTTCTTGTATCCTACACAAATTATCCTGTTTTAGAACAAAAATGTACAAAAATAAGTTTATAGATCAATCCATTTGGATGTATTAATATACCTGGAGAATATTTTAGAAGCACGGGAAAAAATTCCAATAATAAACCTACACGCTATCTGTTAATATATATTTAATTTAAAAAAGCCCACAGCTGTTAAGGTGGAATTATGCCAACATATTAATATTTATTAAAACTAAAAGAAATGTTAAACATTTAAACCTAGTTTTTAATCAATTTAGGGTGGTAGATTTGTTTTTTTTTCGTGTTTCTTCGTATGATTTTCGCGTCCTTACATTTTTCCGTCTTTTCATTTTATAAGGACTATTTTTTACATCGACACCTCTTTCGATATATCTAAAGAGATAACCGTTTATAAAACTGTTCATAACCGTCTTGGAACAAGATTTTAAGATACTATAATAAGTTTGAAAATTATTGTTGATAACACAGTATTGTTAGCATAGTAATGTCACAAAGCGGTGACGAAAAATTGCAAAATTATATGAAATTTTCGTGTGTTAAATGTTACATTATATTTACATTTTCTGGATATCACGGCAAGATCTAAACAACCGGCCAGTATTGAAGACAAATGAAATTATATTAAAAAAGCTGTAGTAACCACCACCAAGTCTCCAATCGCTTTCCAAAAGTACAAAAAGAAGAATTGGATGACTGACGAAATATTATTATAAATAAAAGAGTGTAGCAAAGCTAAAGAACAGTGGCTAGAAATGGAGGAATTGGAAGAAAAACATGATCACTTTAACATACATAAACTCGTTAAAGAAGTGACAGGTCATACAAAACCTTGTAGTTTTAACAGTATTGTGAAGGAAAATAAATAAATTACTGATCCCAAAGATCTACAAAGATCAACATTGGAGAAACTACACACAGCAACTATACTCAGACAACACTAGAAGAAGCTCTGAAAGTAAATAAAAATGGACCCTCCCACAAAATATTGAAGTTAGAAGTTGTAAGGGCATCAAACAGAGCAAATTAGAAAAAGCACCAGGCCAAGACGACATATACAAAGAGGTTCTAACAATGTTGAGTGAAGACAATATAGACGCCTTGGTAGATCTTTTTAATGACATTTATGGGTCCGGTCAAATACCACAGGACTGGCTTCAATCAACCTTTGTACAAATCCCAAAAAAGGCAAACGCTAATAGTTGCGACCAATTCCGAATGATCAGCTTATTGACCCAGGTCCTAAAACTCGTCTTAAAGATAATTCACACAAGAATATACAACAGATGTGAAAGAGACATTAGCCCCACACAGTTCGGTTTCAGACAAGGATTTGGCACAAGAGAAGCACTTTATAGCTTAACTGTAGGACTTCAGAAATGCAGAGATCAGCAAACAGATGTCTTCCTATGCTTTATAGATTATCAGAAAGCGTTCGATTGTGTTAATCATTCAGAATTAGTAAGATTGCTCCAGGAACGTTCGATAGATGAGAATGACTGATGAGAAATATGATGAATCTACATCATATAGGTGTATGACAGGGTTGTGTTCTGTCACCCCTCCTTTTTAATCGTTACTCTGAAACGATTTTCGATAGAGCCTTAAGTGACACTGAAGATGGAATCAAAATCAATGGACAGTCATAATAGCTGATAGTCAAGAAGCGCTACAACGACTGATAGATAGAATAAACACTGAAGGAGAACGAATGGGTTTGAAGATTAATATAGATAAGACGAAGGTAATGGTGGTTAGCAGAACACGAAATATGCAATTGAAATGAAGAACTTAATAGAAATGCACAGGAAATTCGGAAAATACTTGAAAACTCTTATGTGGTTTTCCCAGCTTTCACTGCGGTGTTGTACTACTGTCTTGACCTCTCTGTTCAGCCTATTTGCTCTATTTTTGTCTGCCCGGTTCCTTGTCCTTCTTTCTGTCAGCTTTGCTCTGTTCTTTTCCCTTATTATGTCTTTTATTTCTTGTGGTATATCTTTAAATCTTCCCGTGTGCATTTCTACTTCTTCTTCTGTAGTGCTATTTCTGAGTGCTTTTTGGATGATGTTTTCCAACTATAGGACTCTATCTTCTTTTTCTCGTGGGTTGTCTATCACTGGAACTATGTTAATTCCAGTGCTCACGAGTCTATTAAAGTTTGTCCACTTTGTTTTCTTTTTAACTCTTTTGATTATACTTTCTTCTTCCCACGTTCCTAGTTCTAATAGGATGGGGTTGTCGTCCGTTGTGCCTTCGTTTAATGTTTGTATTTCTGTAGTCCTAGGTTTCTTGCTACCACAATGTCTATGTATGTAGGAAGTCCGTTTCCTGCGTAATGCGTTGGGTCTGTGGGGCTCATTGCCATAAAATCATTATTTTCTATGTATCTGTTTAGTTGTCTTCCGTTTCTGTTCGTAGCTCTGTCGTTCCAGTTTGGCGATCTTGCGTTTAGGTCTCCTATTAATTTGAGGGCTCGTCGTTTAGGAACGTATTTAATGCCTGGTTGCACCAACAGATCTTAAGCTCAAGCTTAGCCCAGCTCCGCTTATAGCTAGGGCCACCTTAACTATGATTTACGTTGCACCATAATTTTCGATTCTTATCTAAGCACGTCTTAACTGACATGTAACTTGTCAATAATTGAGTGACGAAAAGAGTCTTAAATGACCCAATGGTGCAACGCGTATGTTTCCTAAGCTGAGCTTAAGGCACGTCTTAAGCTTAAGATATGTTGGTGCAACCAGGCATAAGTCGTCTAAAATCATTAGATCTTGTGGTCTTACGTAGGTGGAGCTAATTCTAACTTCTTCTTGCCTCATTTGTACTGTTATTGTTGTTGCTTGCATAGTATCTAGTTGTGATATTAGAATTCTGATGTGACCTATGCTTTTTTTCACTAATATTGCTGTGCCACCTGATCTTGCTGTGTTGTCGTTCCTGTATATGTCGTAGCCTGGAAACTTGATGTTTATGTTGTTCGTGAGCTTGTGAAATTAAGTATTTAAAAAAACATACACACTTCCTGGGTTGAGACTGTCATCGGAAATTAGAAGAAAGATCCAAGTCATAGACTATCTTTCACAATCCAAGTGTAGTACCTGAAGAGTGAAAGAATGTCACTGGAATACGAAAGCTTTTAAACGCTTTTCTTTTGAATTTTGCAAGTTTTAATTCCAAGTAAAAGAACAGAATAATGATTTAATATAAGATTACATATTGTGGATTTATTATTATTTAAACTTAATTTTTAAAATGTCATATGATTCATTTATATTTTACCACCTTATAGTAGTTTTCTCATTCAGTGACGTAATTTTATCCAGGAGTTCATCTTGTTAAAACAAAAGTTTCATTGAACAGATAAGTCAACATTATGAGTACTTGACACTATTTTACACAAAACTTCGTGTTACCGCATGTGACAAGGCTGTTTCATCTTATGCAGATCGTCATAAATAAGATTTGTTTATGCAAGAACTCCAGAAAAGAAAATGACTCAGATATTTCATAAATAATTTTGATCTCCTTGTCAATCCTGAACTTGCGATGACTTGAGTCACATCCAAAAGTGGGCGATGGTGTTTAATGTATTACTCATTTCAAAAATTAAATATTTGTATGATCTCAAACAGTCGAACCATTGTTTTTTGTTTTACCGAGTTTGTAGAGGGTAAAGAATAGACAATATCCTTGTTTCTATGTACCGGAACACTATCGCACGATTTTGCCTTGTCTAAAATATAGATGAAGTTGACTTCCATGTGCTAATGATTGTTATTTAATAGTTTCCTAAATATTACATAGACCTAACTTTATTTACAGCTCGATGACTCAAATAGGTATTCCAATTTATTCATTGACTCTCATTTTTGTGTATTGAGTGAAATTCAATACAACAAATAAACAATATATTTCGCTTGTATGCTCATAGTTTTGTTTAGTTTCCCGTGAAGCAACAAGTCCGTCAGCTGTGATAACCTAAATACAATATCAATTGTTGACCTTCCTGGCAATCGTCCAGCGAAAAATAATATACACAAATCTTTCAATTACTTCTCTCTTCAAATGCTTCAAAAATTTCTGCTTTCATAAAAAGATAACTATAAACGTTTATCCTTTTTACTGCACAATATATGGTCTTATAGCTAATCTTGATGTATTTTTCCTGTTTTATTAACATGTTTATTGACTTGCGTAAGGTATACAATGATTTCTTCATTCAGTAGTTTTACCACCTGCAGGATGATTCAACAAGATTTTAATTCCAGACAAGAATAAGAAAAATAAGCAGAAATATATTTATCAAAGAAAGTGATGGATCAAAAAAAGCTGGGAAAAATTAAATTCCATATCTTAGACTCAGCTTAGTTCTTGCTGACATAAAGATCAATAAAAATAAATTATTCCCAACT